AAAAAATCAAAATATGCATATTAAATGGAATGACCCTCTATACTCACTGACCAGAAAAAAAAATCAGGAGCTTCATAATGACAAATGGTGGCAAGGAAGAGACCACCCACACGCTTGGGAGTGCGGAGTGCCCAGCCCCCAGCACTACTTAGTCAGATAAAGAACATTCAGGCCGGGCGCCGTGGCTCACGCCTGTCATCCCAGCACTCTGGGAGGCCCAGGCGGGAGGATCGCTCGAGGTCAGGAGTTCGAGACCAGCCTGAGCAAGAGCGAGACCCTTGTCTCTACTATAAATAGAAAAAAATAATCGGCCAACTAAAAATATATAGAAAAAAATGAGCCAGGCGTGGTGGCGCATGCCTGTAGTCCCAGCTACTCAGGAGGCTGAGGCAGGAGGATGGCTTGAGCCCAGGAGTTGGAGGTTGCTGTGAGCGAGGCTGACGCCACGGCACTCACTGTAGCCCGGGCGACAAAGCGAGACTCTGTCTTAAAAAACAAACAAACAAAAAACCCCAGTTCAGATAAACCTCATAAAGAAAAAAAGAAAGAAAAATTAAATGGTTGCATGGGTGAGAAAGAGAAATGAGAATTCACAGAAGAGAGAGTGCAGAGAGGGAGGAGAGAGGAGGAAAAGGGAGAAGGAATGGCCAACGGAAACCTCTGACCCCGCTCTGATTTATTGTGTTAGCTGGAGCCAGAAAAGCCCTTCACAACAGCACAAGTACTTGAAGGACAAAAGAACAGTGAGGTTTGTTGTGTTTTTTTTTCCCCCCTTTGAATTGCCCCACCTTTACATCTAATATTTGTGCAACCCGGAACAGGTACGGCCGGTGAACTCGGTTACCGGAGTTCTTTCAGCCGCGGCAAACCGACATTCCTCACGGGCCTCGCCCAATTCCTCCCCGCCCGGCTTTGAGATCGCTGCAGATAGGGGCTGCTGGGTTATAAATTATTAAACCAACACCGGCTGCTCTTTATCTCAAGCAGCACCGATCGGAACTGGAAATCAGTCAGCGCTAGCAGCACCGACGTCTTAATGAACATTCCGGGGCCAATCGGGGCATCGGATCGCGGCGGCTTTGGGAAATATTTACGTGAACGTTTCTGAAGTCACTTTACACAAACTTACAGAATTCTTTTTTATTTATTTATTTATTTTTGAGACAGAGTCTCGCTTTGTTGCCCAGGCTAGAGTGAGTGCCGTGGCGTCAGCCTCGCTCACAGCAACCTCAGACTCCAGGGCTCCAGCGATCCTCCTGCCTCAGCCTCCTCCCGAGTAGCTGGGACGACAGGCATGCGCCACCATGCCCGGCTCATTTCTTCTATATATTTTTAGTTGGCCAATTAATTTCTTTCTATTTTTAGTAGAGACGGGGTCTCGGTCTTGCTCAGGCTGGTCTCGAACTCCTGGCCTCCAGCGATCCTCCTGCCTCGGCCTCCCAGAGTGCTGGGATGACAGGCGTGAGCCACCGCACCCGGCCCTAGTCTACAATGAACAACTTTATTTAATCAAGCACAAGATATAACAATACGATTAACACACGCACACATGTTTACATGCACATGTGCACATGTGCATACCTCCCTAAACATGGGGGAAAAAAGAAAATCAGGCCAGGCGCGGTGGCTCACGCTTGTCATCCTAGCTCTCTGGGAGGCCGAGGCGGGAGCATCGCTCAAGGTCAGGAGTTCGAGACCAGCCTGAGCAAGAGCGAGACCCCGTCTCTACTATAAATAGAAAGAAATTAATTGGACAACTAATATATATATATATAAATGAGCCGGGCATGGTGGCACATGCCTGTAGTCCCAGCTACTCCGGAGGAGGCTGAGGCAGGAGGATCATCTGAGCCCAGGAGTCTGAGGTTGCTGTGAGCGAGGCTGACGCCACGGCACTCATTCTAGCCTGGGCAACAGAGCGAGACTCTGTCTCAAAAAAAAATAAAAAGAAAATCAGCAAGGCCCCTGTGGATGAGGGTCTCTGGCAGACCTCGTCTTCTCTCACCCCTCCCGGCCGGCTTGCTTACACACTTCTTTGCTGCATGTTTACGTGCTGCTTTTTTAATTTTCCCCCACTCTGCCCTACATTCAACACAGCGAGCTTGAATATTAATTTGGCGATCGCTGGTCATCAGCTTCCTCAGGGCCGCGTTCGCTTTCTTTCCGTTTCGACGGATCGATAAAGTGGAGAATTATCCCAGCCGTGACGCGCACGGCCCTGCCCAGAGCAATCGACCCAGAAAACCGCTGTTGCCCCAACGTGGCCGGCTTCTCTTTGAAAAGGTCAGCAGGAACTGGAGGAGCTCCGGTGGGCCCGACTGACTTCTGAGGTCCGCGGTGAGAAGCCGCCAAAAATGGCACCAGCACGAATCTCGCAAAATAATCCCAACGCTGACAAAGCTCGTCGGGAAAGATGGTCTCAGCGCCAAGACCGTACATGGAAACCGATCACAGATTTAGCTTTGATTTTTGGGGCCGCTCTCTGTCTCTCTCCTCTTGCTCTGCTTTTTCCTCCTGATTTTATGCATAAAAATGCAACCGGCCCGAACTAAAGCAAATTGGTTTAATTCCCCGGAGGGAGCGTGAACAAATTTCCCCAGTAACTGCCTACTAGAGGCGCTTGTGTGTGGGTGTGCGGACGGAATGAGAAGCAGTCCGCGGCGTAAACCGGGAACCAAATGAAACATTACGCATTTCAAAATGCCCTAAAGCAGCATTAGAGTCACCAATTAAAACAACGAGCTTGGGAGGAAAAAAAAGTGGCACCCTCCCCCTACCCAAAAACACTAAATATTCTGTGGGGGGGTGTGTATGGCAGGGGTAGAGGTAGCAAAAAGGAAGAAGTAAAATCTGGGGGAATTAACTCCCTTTTATTTTTGTTTTATTTATTTATTTATATATTTTTTGGAGACAGAGTCTCACTCTGCTGCCCGGGCTAGAGTGAGTGCCCTGGCGTCAGCCTCGCTCACAGCAACCTCCGACTCCTGGGCTCAAGTGATCCTCCTGCCTCAGCCTCCTCCCGAGTAGCTGGGACTATGGGCACGCGCCACCACGCCCGGCTAATTTTTTCTCTCTCTCTATATATATATTAGTTGGCCAATTAATTTCTTTCTATTTTTAGTAGAGACGGGGGCTCGCTCTTGCTCAGGCTGGTCTCGAACTCCTGACCCCGAGCGATCCTCCCGCCTTGGCCTCCCAGAGTGCTGGGATGACAGGCCTGGGCCACCGCGCCCGGCCCAGAGTTTCTTCTCTTATTTAAAAAGCTGCTGGCAGCTCCCGGTGGCTCGGTGTGTGGGGCTGGGGGAGTGTGGCCCAGTGGGCCGCCCCGCCGGGGCCCGCTGGGGATTACCTGCGCAGGAGTGGCCGTCCCGGTAGAAGCCGTCCCCACAGGCGTCCACGCATTGTCCCAGCTGCAGCAGCAGGGCCGGCCGGCAGGACGAGCACCCCAGCCCGCTGGAGCAGGTGGCGCACTGAGGCTGGCAGGCTGGCTCCCGGCAAGGAAGGGGACAGAAAAAGGGACGCTCTGATTAGCTCAAAGACACCACCCCTGCTGACGCTCACAGACCCAGTCCTGCGGCCCTGGCCCCACACAAACAGGAGAGGCAGGAGGGGGACTGCAGGAGCCATCGAGTCTGCAGCACACGGCTCACGTAAGGCCCTGTTCGGAGGCTTCACAGATACGGTGCATTTAATCCTCACCACAGCCCTGTACCGTGCTTCCCCAAAACAAGACCGCGTCTCATATTTATTCTTCCTCAAGAAGACACCCTAGGGCTTGTTTTCAGGGGATGTGCTATTTTTTTTTTTTTAAGTACGGTACAACCATCTGCATTGATCCAAAGAGAGTGAAGGCGTCTTCTTCTGGAACATCATCCTCACTCTCCAGACCCCGAATCCCATCCTGAATGTCTTGCGACTCTGTTTCCTTTAGAGCCACGGGCCCTGATCTCTCCTGTCAAGCACTAGAGCTCTCACGGGGCGGATGAGAAGGGCTGCTCCTGTTCTTTCCCGCTCCCCAACGACACGCACGGGTTGTGCAGACGCGCTGCGCAGCCACGCCCACCACCAGGGCTGATTTTCATAGCCACGCCCATCACTCGGGCTGATTTTCATAGCCACGCCCACCGCCAGGGCTGATTTTCATAGCCACACCCATCACCAGGGCTGATTTTCATAGCCACGCCCACCACCAGGGCTGATTTTCATAGCCACGCCCACCACTAGGGCTGATTTTCATAGCCACGCCCACCACCAGGCTGATTTAATAGCCACACCCCCACACCACGGGCTGATTTTCATAGCCACGCCACCACCAGGTGATTTTCCGTAGCCACACCCATCACTAGGCTGATTTTCCATAGCACAACATTTACTGAGGCTGATTTTCATAGCCACACCCACCACCAGGGCTGCTGTCTTTCACCGCTCCGCGACGCGGTGCAGATGTTCTCGTAGCCACGCCGATCACTAGGGGACTGATTTTCATGCCACCCCACTTACCAGGGCTGATTCTTCATAGCCACGCCCATCACTGCAGGCTGATTTTCATAGCACGCCCACCTCAGGCTGATTTTCATCGTAGCCACCACCATCACCAGGGCTGATTTTCAGCCAGCCATCCACTGGCACTAGCCACCACCTGAGGGCTGATTTTCGATAGCCACGCCCACCAGGGGCTGATTTTCATAGCCACGCCCATCACTTAGGGGCTGATTTCAGCACCCATCTGCTTTCGGGGTAGGGCTTCTATGTGCACATTGCTTTAGACATCCTGCCGGGGCTTTTGTATGGGTGAGGTCTATTTTTCAGGGAAACAGGGCAGACATTATTAATCTCAATTTGCATATGAGGACAGCTCGGGAGGTTAAGTAACTGCCCAAGGTCACAGCAGCTGCATCTGAAGCCGGGCAGTCGGCTCAGGAATCTCGTTCTTTGCTTCTTATCCGACAGCCCCCGATATCCTGTCACTCAGCCTTTCTTGCAAAAGTATCTTGCCCCTTTTTCTTTACACCCGATGGCAGATGTAAATACTTTCCAAAAAGTTAAAGATTTTATGAATCAGGAGAGAAAGCAGGGATAAGTGAATAACTATGAAAATAATAAAAGCATCTAGGCCTTACTGAGACCTGAGCACACTCTAGATGGGAGTCTGGGCACCTGATGTGTATCGACACACTTCACCTGCAAAAGGTACTGGGACTGCTCTCGATTTATGCGGTGAGAATACTGAGGCACAGAGAGGCTAAAAACTCACAGCCAGGGTATGACCCACATACTCTTTTTTTTTTTTTTTTGAGACAGAGTCTCACTCTGCTGCCCCGGGCTAGAGTGAGTGCCGGGCCAGCCTCGCTCACAGCAACCTCCACTCCTGGCTCAAGCGATCCTCCTGCCTCAGCTCCTACGAGTAGCTGGGACTACAGGCATGCCGCCACCATGCCCGTCATTTTTTCTTATATATTTTTAGTTGGCCAATTAATTTCTTTCTATTTATAGTAGAGACGGGTCTCGCTCTTGCTCAGGCTGGTTTCGACACCTGACCTGAGCATCCTCCCCTCGGCCTCCCAGAGTGCCGGCATGACAGGCGTGAGCCTCCAAGCCCGGCCGGGAATCACAATGCTTGAGGAGTCTCTCGGTCCGCCGCTCGCCCCGCCTTGGGCTGCCCGCTCAGAGCCTCACCTACACAGAGACTGCCAGCCCGGTAGAAGCCCGGCCCGCAGCTGTGCACACACCGCCCGCCCTGCAGCAGCTTTGTGGGGTCCTGGCAGAGGTCGCAGTGGTCCGGAGAGCCGGAGCAGGTCAAGCAGTCTGGGTGGCAGCGCACTGAAATCAAAGACAAGGGAGAGGGGAGCTCAGTGACGGCCACACACGGTTTCGCTGACAGTCCTCGGAGAAAGGGTCTGCAGGCGGGCAAAGTTATCCAGATAGAACATGAAGAACACTGTGGACAGAGGTGCGGAGAAGCCATCCAAATAGCAAAAAGGCATATTTTTTAAGTTTTTTATTTTTTGAGACAGAGTCTCCTTGTTTGCCCGGGCTAGAGTGAGTGCCGTGGGTCAGCCTCGCTCACAGCAACCTCAGACTCCTGGCCCAAGCGATCCTCCCTGCCATCAGCCTCCTCCCGAGTAGCTGGGACTACAGGCATGCGCCCACCGAGCCCGGCTCAAATTTTTTCTATAGTGTTTTAGTTGGCCCAATTAATTTCTTATTTTATAGTAGAACGGGTCTCGGCTCTTGCTCAGGCTGGTTTTGAACTCCTGACCTCGAGTGATCCGCCCGCCTCGGCCTCCCAGAGTGCTGGGATGACAGGCGTGAGCCACCGCGCCCGGCCTGAAAAGGCATTTCGATGCAAGAGTTCAAGGATACTTTCCTCATCTGAAATGCCATCGCTGTCCCCCCAGAACCCCAAATCGAAGGCGCTAAAAACAGCAGGTTTATTAATGCTTCTTTCTCCCTGCTGAAAAAAATATCTCCAGAAACAGGAATGACTACCTTCCATCATGCATGATTTAAACAGAGTCAATAATGCATGATATCCGAGATGTTCTTCCTAAGCTCTGACATGCATGGGCAGTTCAGACATAAAACCTACAATGTTTTAGAACAGTTATTTTTACCTGAACAGAAGTACAGCCAGTTCTCTTTTCCTCTAAAATTTCAAACCTCATTCCCAATAATTTGGATTATCACTGGACTTAGTGGTAAGTGTCAACAAAGGACTTTTTTTTTTTTTCAAAAGGTTTTCAAGCTGTCCCTTGACTCGATTTCCGATGTACGGTACATAATCACATGCTGAGTGTTTGTTTTGGAAGGCCTAGAGAGCCACTTTGGTGAAGGTAATGTAATTAAACCATAGAGTCGCTTTGCTCTCCCCTTGATAAACCCTTCAGGGAAACGCCGCGATGAGCCACAAGTTGAGTGCAACGCGAGCAACTGCCAATATGAAAAATGGCGGCCCGGGGAAGAAAGCAACTAATTATGAAATATGAGTGGAAGAAAATGTCATTTCTCCAAGAGGGACTCGGCTTATAGGCAAATTACCGCTCAACCAGAGCAACTCCGGCGCTTGCCAACAATTATTAACCGGAACTAATTCAACCCCAGGTGATTTGAAAGCAGAATTGCAGAACAAGTAGATAAAATTTTCTTTTGGAAGAAATTAACGCGTCTTTAAACTTTAAAAACCCTTTGGAGAACTCCAGAAGGAACCATCTGTTTAACAGCTCACCATGCAAAAAAAGGAGAAAAAAAAAAAAAAAGAACATCCATAACAAACTTTGAGCAATTATTCTTGTATTTTCCACGGCGGAAGACGGAGTTGCCCTCCCGAGTGTTTGGCCATGACCATTATTTGATTTTCACAGGCATTTTGCAAGGTGCATCAGGTGTACTTTGTCAACAAGAAAAGATTGCCCAATGACTTGTCCAAGGCCACACCACCGCACAGTAAGTTGAGCTTGGCAATTACACGGACCAAGGATTAATTAGTATCATCTGCTAGAAAAATTAGGAAGAAAGAAACAAACCCACTGGGTGAGCCTAGAAGCAGCAGCAAGATGGGGGTTCGTGGGGAAATAGGGCCTCCCTGAATCCTTTGGCAGCAAAACCATCTCAGCATAAATAAATGAGAGTCGGGCCTACCTGAGGTGCAGCCAGGGCAGCACTGCCCCTTCACCTCCACGGCCAGCGTGGCCACCGGGCACGGCGGGCAGGAGGGCTCGTAGCAGGTCACCTGCGCCCCTCGGCACTCGCACACTCTGCACGGGCCGTCTTCCCACTTCTCCCCGTCCTGCAAGACACAGCCAAGAACCACCACGCTGGCCCCGGGGGACCGGGATTCCGAGGAGAGTTCCCTGCGGAGGAACTTAACGATTTGTGCGGGGATGGAGGGAAAAGGCACCGGGCCAGTCCCCATGCCAAATCCAACTCTGAGACAGGACAACGTGGGGGAAGAAGAGCCCCAGATTTAACAGGACAGAATTCCTCCTTCTCTGTTTATAACTGGTTTATTTCAACGCAGAACACCCAGCGTGGAGAGGATGGTGGGTGTAAGACACCTTCCAGCTTCTGTTTGCTTGCTGACCGCAAGGCATTACGAGTCCATTATGGGACGCAGAGGAGAAAGACAAAGAACTCGGAGACCGGGGTCTCTCGGCTGGGACCCGGAACAGGTCGGAGCCCATCGGGGGCAGGATGAAGTCAGAATCACTGTGGGGACGGACGCATGACCAGCGTGTGAACAATTTAGTTATAAAAGGCTCACTAGCACACAAAGGAGGGTCCATGCCGGAAGGGCTCCAGCTAGACAATAAAACTCCTTTTGATAATCACAGCCTTGGCAACTCTGTCTCTCGGCCCTGCAGCCCTGCGAGTCTCGAATGTAACATTGGCACACCCAGGGATAAACGGCGGAAGAACTCTGGGGCTACCAGAAGAGGCAAGAAGCATTCAAAAATTGCTTTTCAACCTATTTCGCCCCCCAAAAAAAACAACAAGGGAGACTGCTGTGTACCTGGTGATTAGCAGGTACATTCGTTACATGCAATCTCTGAAATAACAGAGGAAAGCAGGGCTGGAACCCTGGATTTCATTCCGGGCTACCACAATAAGAGTAACAGTCAAGTCGTTGTGTTCTAAAAACTAAAGCCTTTGCAGGCCCGTTTCTAAGGGGCTGTGGGTGTGCCCTGAGCTTTCTCACACTCCTGCAGTCTTTTCAGCCAAGCAAATCATGGTAATAAACACTAGCCCTTTCACAGAGAATCCAAAGTGAATTGTAACGAGCAATTTCTTTTTGCTCTCAGGGAAGAGACGCAGGTTCTTACCAGAATTAGGGTTAGAGAAAACAGCAGATTTTAAAGTAAAAAATTTGATAAAATTGCGTACTAAGATGTCAAGGTTAAAAAAGCCAAACTCTGTAAAATAATTTTTTTTGAGACAGAGTCTCACTTTGTTGCCCAGGCTAGAGTGAGTGCCGTGGCGTCAGCCTCGCTCACAGCAACCTCAGACTCCTGGCCTCAAGCCATCCTCCTCCCTCAGCCTCCCGAGTGGCTGGGGACTACAGGCATGCGCCACCATGCCCGGCTCATTTTTTCTATCTATATTAGTTGACCAATTAATTTCTTTCTATTTTTAGTAGAGACGGGACTCGCTCTTGCTCAGGCTGGTTTCGAACTCCTGACCTCAAGCGATCCTCCCGCCTCGGCCTCCCAGAGTGCTGGGATGACAGGCGTGAGCCACCGCGCCCGGCCTCTGTAAAATAATTTTATCGAGATTCACTCTGAGCCAAATTTGAGGACCGTGACGCAGAGCCACGACCAAGAAGCCTTGAGCAAGTGGGCTCCCCCTGGCTGGGTCACAGTTTGGTTTTTATACATTTCAGGGAGGCAGAGGTTACAGGTAAAGTCATAAATCAATACCTGGGAGGCAGCCATTGGTTTGGCCCGAAAAGGTGGGCCATCTCTTGAAGGGGGCCTTACAGGTAACAGGTGGGTTTAAAGATTCTGTGGCCTGTCATTGGTTAAAGACATGCAGCTTTGTCTAGAGGCTTTGGAATGTGCTAACATAAGGAGCTGTTATCAGAGACAAGCCACAGGACACAGATTTGTGGTGTAAACTGAGGACCTGCAGGTGTGTCTTGCATACCCTTACGCCTGCTAATGGGTCACAAAGGATGTCCCCAAGAAGAGAGGGGGGCATGGTGAGGCCATGTCTGACCTCCCTCCTCCTGGCAGGCAATTTAGTTTTACCATATTCCTTTGGCCACGAGGGGGTCCATTCAGTCAGCTGGTGGGGGCAGTGAGCTTTAAGATTTCATTTTAGCTCACAAAGCTAACTCATGTCAACATTCCAAACAATTAATGTGGGACCCTATTTAGCAAGATGAAAGGCAAATGGCAGAAAACTGAGGAATATTATCTTTTTTTTTTTTTTTTTGAGACAGAGTCTCACTCTGTTGCCCAGGCTAGAGTGAGTGCCGTGGCGTCAGCCTCGCTCACAGCAACCTCCAACTCCTGGGCTCAAGCGATCCTCCTGCCTCAGCCTCCCGAGTAGCTGGGACTACAGGCGTGCACCACCACGCCCGGCTCATTTTTTCTATCTATATTAGTTGACCAATTAATTTCTTTCTATTTTTAGTAGAGACAGGGGGCTCGCTCTTGCTCAGGCTGGTTTCGAACTCCAGACCTCGAGCGATCCTCCCGCCTCGGCCTCCCAGAGTGCTGGGATGACAGGCGTGAGCCACCACTCGCCTGGCCCGAATATTATCTTGAGAAGGCAGAAGAGTTTTCTTCCTTTTTAAGACAAACAGGTTTTCCTGCCCCCCTATTTTAGAACCTCCAAAAACTGTAAGGCTGCTGATGTGAACAAACATGCTTGTGTTTTCCCTATCAAAGAAACCATTCGACATCGCCCTGCAAACAGCCTACAGAGAAGGAACACCCCATACTGTTTGCAGAGCAAACGTTCGCAGACCCGACAGTCTTTCCTCAGTGTCTGGCAGCACTTGAGTCTTCTAGGCCAGAAAACAAGTGGGAAGAGAAAATCATCACAAGAAAGGGAAAGGACCCACGTAGGAGCTTGTAGTCGGAGAATTATTAATTATCAGCTGTGTAAGACGATAAGCTAACAGACCAAACGTTGAATGGATCAACGTCCAATTTCTCATTACGATTCTTAATTCCTGACCACGATGGCATCGAATGTGGCCGTTAAAAATGCTAAGTTCCCCCCCGATAGTTCATGCAGATTATGACTCACAGCAATTTCATGCACAAGATACTTACTGGAATACGTTTAACTGCGCTAGCATTTGAGGACATCTGGGAAGAAAGAGAAACGTATTTATTACACCACTAAAAACACCATCATCGGTTTTCATTAGGAGTTATCCATTTTCCCCAAGTAACATGCAACTTCACTCATTTGCTATGAATACAAATAAAATCCATCTCCTCAAGAACAAGAAGAGCACACCATTATGAAGTAGAGGGAACAAGCCTCAGAAGTATTTTTTTTTTTTGAGACAGAGTCTCACTCTGTCGCCCGGGTTAGAGTGAGTGCCGCGGCGTCAGCCTCGCTCACAGCAACCTCCAACTCCTGGGCTCAAGTGATCCTCCCACCTCAGCCTCCTGAGTAGCTGGGACTACAGGCATGCGCCACCACGCCCGGCTCATTTTTTCTATCTATATTAGTTGCCCAATTAATTTCTTTCTATTTATAGTAGAGATGGGGTCTCGCTGTTGCTCAGGCTGGTCTCGAACTCCTGACCTCGAGCAATCCTCCCGCCTCGGCCTCCCAGAGTGCTAGGATGACAGGCGTGAGCCACCGCGCCCGGCCTAGAAGTATCTTTGAATTCTTATTTCTGTGCTTGAGCCCTTGGCTTCGATTTTCCTCGACATGAAGCACTCCGCAGTCAAGAGACCCAAACTCCTGAAGGCAAATCCTTGAATTTTGCACGGTGCCAGAGTATCATGGAGAATTGTGCCTATTTAAAACAACCTGGTTTTCTTTAATTCCACTGGGTCTGATTTGCCTCCGAAAATGAGGGCGAAGATTGATACTATGACTGAGAAAATACAAATTTAACATGTATAAGAAATCTTTAATCTCCTAATTTCTTAAGAAACAACAATGACTAAATTATAAAACACTGTCATGAAACAATGCTAACAGCATGACAACACCCATGGTTTTAGCTTTTAAAAAAATGTGCCAGGCACTGTTCTAAGTGCTTTACCATCTGCACAGCCCCGGCGGTGAATATTACTGCAGAAACAATAGTAAAAACTGTCACTATTTTATGATGAGGATGAAGTGACTTGCCCCAGATCACAGCACGTGGCAAAGCCGGGATTCGAACCCAGTTCCTACACTGTCAGCCCTGCATGATGCTGCCTCCCAGGATATACGTAAACACTGGCAGGTGACACACAATTCATCCAAACCACAAAGAAAAGGTGTGGAGGCCGGGCGCGGTAGCTCACGCCCATCATCCCGGCACCCTGGAAGGCCGAGGAGGGAGGATTGCTCAAAGTCAGGAGTTCGAAACCAGCTCTGAGCAAGAGCGAGACCCCGTCTCTACTACAAATAGAAAGAAATTAATCGGCCAACTAAAAATATATAGAAAAAAAATCAGCCGGGCGTGGTGGCGCATGCCTGTAGTCCCAGCTACTCGGGGGGAGGCTGAGGCAGGAGGATCGCTTGAGCCCAGGAGTCTGAGGTTGCTGTGAGCGAGGCTGACACCACGGCACTCACTCTAGCCTGGGCGACAGAGTGAGACTCTGTCTCAAAAAAAAAAAAAAAAAACCCACAAAAAACGGGCAAAGACACCCGTATGTGGCCATCGGGCTGTAGTGGTTTGAGGACGCCTGCGATAAACCAAGCCACCACCCCCCCTTCACATGGACTCACCCCAACACCCCCAACCGGGCCACCCACCTCCGGCCTGGCCCCTTCTGCCCCTCAGCGTGGCCACCGGCCCCCCCTCGAGACCGAGACCGGGCCTCACCAGCCGCGCTCCCCGCCTGGCTATCTCCCGAACGTGCTTCTGCCCGGGTGCCTTTGCGTTTGCCGCCCCTCTTCCCAGCATGTCCCCCCACATACCCACACGGCTCGCGCCCCTCACGACCCTCAGGCTCTGCTCAGGTCCCCACGGGGAGGGAGGACTCCCGCTCACCTTGCAGGAAAGCGCACACCCCGCCCGCCCAGCCACCCTGCGGTCCCCTCCCCACGCTGTCACCTCCGGGGTGGCCTTGCTCTCCGTGCCCCGACCCCCGACGGCCAGCCCCTCGGCGAGGGCAGGCCCCCTGCGTGTGCGCTCCGTGCCCGGGGCGCAGTAGGCGTGCAGCGCCCCGATCCGTGGGACACACGGGCCCGTGAAACAGACGAGGAGCGAGCGTCTCCTCGTTAGGTGACTCCCGAGTGACTCTGTGACAGTTTCCGGCTGTTGGCCGCACGGATACTCACAGGGTCCCCGTTTTCCTCGCGGACACAGTGACCGCTCCTCGGAACGCATTCCGGACAGCACTTTCCGTCCAAGTGAACCAACTCTTCCCCCTGCGGGAACAAGGGCAGCGGGCGGCACAGACCAAATTAACGTCCCCAGGCCGCGGCGCCCAGACCGGGGTGAGGAAGCTCGGAGCCCTCCGCGCCGGCCCACCCCGGCGTCACCCCCCGGCCGCCTGCCCCAGGACAGCCCAGGCACACGGCTCACCCCTTCGGGGCCCTTCTCCCCTGCTCTGATGGCGCCTGTGCCGGGTCCCTCCATAATTCCCACCCACGACCGGCAGCCCCCACCAGTAAACCAGGACGGCCAAGATGGGTGCGCCAGCCTCGCAAAGTCACGGGTCTCAGAAAAGGACCACGCGGTCTCGAAGGTATAAGGCTGGAACGTGTGAGTCGGGTTTCACCAGCAGTGCTCAAATCAAACCGGCGTCCTGGCCGGGCGCGGCGGCTCACGCCTGTCATCCCGGCTCTCTGGGAGGCCGAGGCGGGAGGATCGTTTGAGCTCAGGAGTTCGAGACCAGCCTGAGCAACAGCGAGACCCCCCCACCCTCCGTCTCTACTATAAATAGAAGGAAATTAACTGGCCAACTAAAAATACATAGAAAAAATTAGCCGGGCGTGGTGGCGCATGCCTGTAGTCCCAGCTACTCGGGAGGAGGCTGAGGCAGGAGGATCGCTTGAGCCCAGGAGTCTGAGGTTGCTGTGAGCGAGGCTGACGCCACGGCACTCACTCTAGCCTGGGCAACACAGTGAGACTCTGCCTCAAAAACAAAAAAAAAAAAAACAAAAAACCAGCGTCTTTCCCTGAATACGGAATCAGACCATGCCTCCCTGTGCAGGTGCAGCCTCAGGCATAAATTAAACGGCGCAGAACCGATTTTTGCTCGATGTTCTGAGATTCTTACTGTTGGCCAACTCACATCAAAGCTGTCTTTAAAATTATAAAAGGAAGAAGAGAAATGCCACATTTGGGGGGCAGATGTTTTAACTTTTCACAGTCTTATCGCTTTCATGTCTCCGGGTCGATACTTTGAAATTTTTACTTCTTATTACAAGATAATAAATGTTGGCCATCGTTTAATAACTCTGAATTCTATAATTTAGAACAGGCGTCCTCAAACTACGGCCCGAGGGCCACATGCGGGCGTTTGTGCCCATTTGTTTTTTTTTTTTGATTCAAAATAAGACATGTGCAGCGTGCATAGGGATTTGTTCATAGTTTTTGTTAAACTATAGTCCGGCCCTCCAACGGTCTGAAGGACAGGGAACTGGCCCCCTGTTTAAAAGGTTTGAGGACCCCTGGTGTAGAAGGTGTAATTCAAAATGACATCCTATCTCCCAGGGAATCTGCTGTTAAAAATACAATCTGTTTACAATTTTTCATATATATTCACAAACATCTAATCTGTATGCTAGTATTATATCCTAACATGTATCTATAAGCTAAAGAGCATTTTTTAAAAGCACTTCCTACTTTCTAATGGTATATCTACTTTCTACATTGATTGATGGAGATGATATACAGTGATACAACAATATACCTACATTCAGAATGGTAATGTTTCTCTAAATAGTTACTATTTAATTTGGGGTCTACATTATATTTAAAAGGACAAGAGCCATGTTACATGAAAATGAACAATGTGAATTTGCATAAACAGAATAATCACAATTATATTTTATGTTTAAGCACAAACATTACACCAAAGACAAATATCATGAACGCATCTGCTGTCTTTGGTATCACTATGGTCAGGTTTTTCAGTCTCTTTTCTTTTCTTTCTTTTTTTTTTTTGAGACAGAGTCTCACTCTGTCGCCCAGGCTAGAGTGAGTGCCGTGGCGTCAGCCTCACTCACAGCAACCTCCAACTCCTGGGCTCAGGCGATCCTCCTGCCTCAGCCTCCTCCCGAGTAGCTGGGACTACAGGCATGCGCCACCATGCCCGGCTAATTTTTTCTATATATATTAGTTGGCCAATTAATTTCTTTCTATTTATAGTAGAGACGGGGTCTTGCTCTTGCTCAGGCTGCTTTCGAACTCCTGACCTCGAGCGATCCTCCCGCCCCGGCCTCCCAGAGTGCCGGGATGACAGGCGTGAGCCACCGCGCCCGGCCTGAACCTTACTTCTTAAGGAATCCAGGCCCCTACAGTTCATGATATAGATTCGGATTTTGTGTGATGCCATCATAGCATTAAAACTAGATACCAACTTTCCTGTGGAGCTCAGGAAACCCCGTCTATTTTAAGACACAAAAAGACTTGAATGAGAGGACAGGAAGGCCCCGAGTAAGTTTTCTCCTCGCCCTCATCCTGCCATCCCGACTCCCTCAACACAGAGAAAGGAAAGAAGTGCGGGGCGTGGGGGAGGAGGGCATAAATCTGCAAAACGGCACGGCCCTCTTTACCCAAATGCATCTCATATTTGGGGAGACCTGCACGGAGGAGGTGAAGTGAAAAACAACCCGTGGAAGACAGCCTGGTGCGAAAGGCTGCTCCCGCTCAGCCCCAGCGTCGGGAGGGGCTGAGAGGCGGGGAGCAGACCTGGAGGGGAAACGCCCTCCCTGACGGCCAGAGCTGAAGCTCCCTCAAGTCTTCCGTCTGGAGCCCAGAGGGCCCTGGCGGGGCGGGTGGGAGGGCGCGGGGAGGAGCACAGGACTCTGAGAGCAATTGTTTTGCAGTGGGTCAAAATCAAGTTCAAAGAGGGAGGGGGAAAAAAGTAACTTCCCTGCCATAGACAATACACCTGTAGGGCAAACAGAGGCTGCCTTGTTGGCGGCTTCTAGAAATTCTGCAGGCAGGGTGAGTGAACAGAAGAGTTAATTGTTTATGACTTCCCCTTGCTCTCTCTTTTGTTTTTTTTTGAGACAGAGTCTCACTCTGTCGCCCAGGCTAGAGTGAGTGCCGTGGCGTCAGCCTCGCTCACAGCAACCTCCAACTCCTGGGCTCAAGCGATCCTCCTGCCTCAGCCTCCTCCCGAGTAGCTGGGACTACAGGCATGCACCACCATGCCCGGCTCATTTTTTCTATGTATATATATATTAGTCGGCCAATTAATTTGTTTCTATTTATAGTAGAGACGGGGTCTCGCTCTTGCTCAGGCTGGTTTTGAACTCCTTACCTCGAGCCATCCTCCTGCCTCGGCCTCCCAGTGTGCTAGGATTACATCCATAAGCCACTGTGCCTGGCTAATTTTTTCTACATATTTTCAATTGGCCAATTAATTTCTTTCTATTTATAGTAGAGACGGGGTCTCGCTCTCACTCAGGCTGGTCTCGAACTCCTGACCTCCAGCGATCCTCCCGCCTTGGCCTCCCAGAGTGCCAGGATGACAGGCGTGAGGCACCTCGCCTGGCTTCCCTTGCTCTCGCTTAAAAACAAAACCCATTTTATTTTCTTTCCTGATCCATGGGAGCAGCCCCCAATGCTGGCTCCCCTCTCTCCTCAATGCGGCCAGAGGAAGTTGGGGGGGGAAGTCCTGCGGCAGGAGCCCCCTCCCCACCTAAGGAACATGTGAGAAATAACTTCTAAGGGGTCACAGATACATTTATTTTTGCAGCACATGGCTTGGCGGTATCCGCCGATTGAGTTTTATGGCTGCAACTTGTTTTGCCTCTGTGCGTCCGGCCAAGGCCAGCCGGGCAGGCCACCGGCCAGGAGGCCCAGCTGCACTGCCTGGCGGGCTCACAGCCCCGGCTGCGTTCTGCCCTTCCACGTCCCTGGCTGGGCTTCCCTTCCGCCCAGGGGCACCGAGAGCCGGCAGCTCCAGGGTGCTGTCCCCGGCCGGTCCCAACGGGCAGTGACGGTCCCTCCACTGCACAGAAACCTCCGTGCCTGAAGGTGCTGAGAGCTGCTCGTCCGGCCGTCCCCCTGCCCCCAGGAGGCCAGGGCAGGTGTGGCCCTCCTGCCCCGCTGGGAAGACCTGCCCCCAGAATACCAGGGCAGGTGTGGCCCTCCTGCCCCGCTGGGAAGACCTGCCCCCAGAACACCAGGGCAGGTGCGGCCCTCCTGCCCCGCTGGGAAGACCTGCCCCCAGGAGGCCAAGGCAGGTGTGGCCCTCCTGCCCCACTGGAAAGACCTGCCCCCAGGAGGCCAGGGCAGGTGCGGCCCTCCTGTCCCGCTGGGAAGACCTGCCCCCAGGAGGCCAGGGCAGGTGCGGCCCTCCTGCCCCACTGGAAAGACCTGCCCCCAGGAGGCCAAGGCAGGTGTGGCCCGCCTGCCCCGCTGGGAAGACCTGCCCCCAGAACACCAGGGCAGGTGCGGCCCCCTGCCCCGCTGGGAAGACCTGCCGCCGCCCAGCCCGGCTCCTTACCTGGGCACACTGCGCTCTGGCGCACACCGCGGGCCGGCAGGTCACCCGGCCGCCGTCGCACACGCAGAACTCGCAGGCCCCTGTCGTCCACAGCTCGTCCTGGTACCGCACGGCCCCGGCGTGCCGGCAGCTCCCGGCAGGGGACAGGCACTCCTCGCAGCACTGCCCGGGGCGCCGGGCCCTGCGGTGGGCCTGGGGAGGGACAGGCGGCGGGTGGAGGGCGGCGGTCAGGAGACGGGGCCACGCCGGGACCACGGAGGCAGAAGGAGCAAAACACCAAGCCGGAGCACCGCTGTCCCCCGCCCACCGCCCCGGACCCCAAGCGGCCCGACCCTCCTTCCCGGGGGCAGCTCTCGGCTGTCCTCCCGTCTGCGTGACATTCTGGACACGACGGGACTTACTATTTTTTGAGACAGACTCTCACTCTGTTGCCCAGGCTAGAGTGAGTGCTGTGGCGTCAGCCTCGCTCACAGCAACCTCAGACTCCTGGGCTCAAGCGATCCTCCTGCCTCAGCCTCCTCCCGAGTAGCTGGGACTACAGGCATGTGCCACCACGCCCGGCTGATTTTTTCTATACATTTTTAGTTGTCCAGCTAATTTCTTTCTATCTTTTTAGTAGAGACGGGGTCTTGCTCTTGCTCAGGCTGGTTTCAAACTCCTGACCTCGAGTGATCCTCCCGCCTCGGCCTCCCAAGTAGCTGGGACTACAGGCATGCGCCAACATGCCCGGCTGATTTTCTCTATACATTTTTAGTTGTCCAGCTAATTTCTTTCTATTTTTTTAGTAGCAACGGGGTCTCGCTCTTGCTCAGGCTGGCCTCGACCTCCTGACCTCGAGCGATCCTCCCTCCTCCGCCTCCCAGAGTGCCGGGATGACAGGCGTGAGCCCCCGCGCCCGGCCTCTTGCTGAGGCTTCTGAACCCCTCCAAAGGCCACGCTGGGCCCACAAACGCGTCTCCCAGACGGCCGGAACGGAGCTGAGACGTGGGGCTCTGGCGTACCTTCCCGCAGCTCAGAGGGGGGCAGGCCTGCCTGCGGCAGCTGGCCCGGCCCCGGTCACACTCACAGGCCGTGCAGGCGTCCTCACTCCACCGCTGGCCGTGCTGCGCGAGGAGAGGGACAGAGAAAGCGGAAAGTCAGACGCCGTGCGCACCTAACAGACGCACAGACTCTCGGGACTCCCGACCTCTGCCACGTCTGCTGACCGAGCCGCCTCGGGACGGGATCAGCCTCGGGGAAAACGGTCGGTCCGTGTCCAAAGACAACCTGGGGTTAACTTTCATTCTGCTGCGGCCGCTCGCCCCACAGATGTGCCGAGGGTCCCCCTGTGCCCTGGGACGCCGGGAGGGACAGCAGGAAGAGTGCTCGCCTGGCGGGGGTCAAATAGAAGACTTTCCCACGGGCCAGGAGAGGTGGCTCACGGCTGTTATCCCAGCTCTCTGGGAGGCCGAGGCAGGAGGATCGCTCGAGGTCAGGAGTTCGAGACCAGCCTGAGCAAGAGCGAGACCCCCGTCTCTACTATAAATAGAAAGAAATTAATTGGCCAACTAAAAATATATATAGTAGAAAGAAATTAATTGGCCAACTAATATATATAGAAAAAAATGAGCCGGGCGTGGTGGCGCACGCCTGTCATCCCAGCTACTCGGGAGGAGGCTGAGGCGGGAGGATCGCTCGAGGTCAGGAGTTCGAGACCAGCCTGAGCAAGAGCAAGACCCCGTCTCTACTAAAAATAGAAAGAAATTAATTGGCCAACTAAAAATAGATATAGTAGAAAGAAATGAATTGGCCAACTAATATATATAGAAAAAATTAGCCGGGCGTGGTGGCGCAGGCCTGTTGCCCATAGTGCTCCATGGTGTACATACACCACATATGGGTTGAGTGTATTTTTTTTTTTATATATATATTCTTTGCTTTCGAATAAAAAGCGATCTCTCGGCCCAGCCGGGCACTCCTAAGGCGGAACATTCCTTCGTTCCGCCTGCTGAACGTGGCTCCACTTGCCCCGTGCCTGGCGCAGCTATGCAGGTGCCCGGCACAACCGCCGGGCTCATGGGTTCCTCGGCCAGCGGCCTCCCCCCTCCCCGCGGCCCGGCCAGGCCCCCCACATTGCCAGGGGCGGGAGTCAGGCGGGGGCACCCTCTCTGGGTGTCCGTGCATCGAATCCAACCAGAGCGGGCGGGCACTCCCAGGGCCTCAAGGCCAAGCGTGGACCTACGGAGAGCAACGGTCGCCTCCTCCCCCGGGACGTGCGCACGGCTGGTTCACCGGGGCCGGGGCCAGGTGCTGCCGGCCAGCGCAGTCCTGCACATCCCTAACCCCCTTCGACCCAACTGTCCCTAGAGGCCTTCTGGGAGGAGCAGCGCCGCGCCGCTCCCGGACCGAGTCGCGGACCCAGGCGGAGGCTCAGCATGAGCGGGGGAGGCTCGGCGGCCGGAGGGAGGGCGGACCTGTGGGAACACCTGTCGGAGCACCTGTGCAGGTGGGTCGGTTACCTGGTACACGTGGCCGGCCGCCAAGCAGGATCGCGCGGAGCACTGCGGGCAACACCTCCCAGGCACGTGGACGACGGCCTCATCCTTGACACCCAAAACAGGAACAATCGGTCACAAAGAGTGTCAGTGAAATCCAGGACAGTAGGACATTTTAGTCACCGCCAGCTAAATCCTGTGTCCCAAGCGTGCCCGGCAGCAATATCCTCCCGTCCGGCACTTATTAGTCACCTGGGCCCCGACAGGTACGAGCCCCCTTCCAAGCTCAGTGTGGCCCTTAAGACGTTCTGCACCTGCCTCAGGTCCTGTCCTCCTCTGAAAACAAATAATGATGAAAAACAGTACTTGGTTTTTTCCCAGGTACTGTCCTAAGTGCCTTGCACGGCCCTACGAAGCAGATGCTCTTATCCTTGCTCTACACGTGAGAACAGTAAGGACCGGGCGCGGCGGCTCACGCCTGTCACCCCGGCACCCTGGGAGGCCGAGGCGGGAGGATCGCTCGAGGTCAGGAGTTCGAGACCAGCCTGAGCAAGAGCGAGACCCCGTCTCTACTATAAATAGAAAGAAATTAATTGGCCAACTGATATATATAGAAAAAATGAGCCGGGCGTGGTGGCGCATGCCTGTAGTCCCAGCTACTCGGGAGGAGGCTGAGGCAGGAGGATCGCTTGAGCCCAGGAGTCTGAGGTTGCTGTGAGCCAGGCTGACGCCACGGCACTCACTCTAGCCCGGGCAACAAAGCGAGACTCTGTCTCAAAAAAAAAAAAAAAATGGTGAAAGAGAACATGACTATAAACAGGGGGAAGAGAGAGGAGCCACCTAAGAGTCGTAGATGTTTCCAGAGAAATGAGAATAATTGGAACAGATAAGATTCATCAAAGACAGAACCAAAGGAAACATTTAGAAAACTGTAATACTCTATGAATGGGCTCCAAATATCCTAGGTAAAATACCTGACAAGATACCTCACCTAGAAATATCCGGAAAGATACCTGAATTACAAAGGTAAAGAGACTTCCTGCAAGAGTGCACCCAAGTAGAGCCAGCTGCACGTAACAGAATAAAGACCAGATGAACCTGAGACTTCTCCTCCCTGGCACTGAATTCTAGAACCCAATGGAAAACCGTCTCTGGGATTGGGATGGGAAGGGATTATAGTCCTTCCAAATTTTAAATCCCTCCAAATTGTCTTTCACGTAGGAAGGTAACACGAAAACAATTCTCAAACACTTAGAAGCTCAGAAGACTCACCAATCACCTATTTTTCTTGAAAAAAAAAAAATGCCCAAGATGAAGTCCAAACTACTCAGATTAATCAATATCAGGAATGGGGACGAAATAAACCAGTGGCAGTAATTATCCAGAGCGATTTTAATGAGCCTGCCCCGTGGCTCTGTTCTCAAGGCAGCCGCACGGAAGTTCAAAGCAGGCAATTTCAGTATGGATTTATATCCCTTCTTCAAAGAATAACCCCTTATTTGAACATAAGCAATTTCTCCTTTTGTCAGAAATTATCAGCAGCTTCTGAAGCATCATTATATTGATTACTATGCAAACAAACATGTCCACATTTGCTTACCAAAGGACTGGAATGAATTACCCCCGCCCCCCCCCAAAATCTATCATGGGCTCTTTGAATGGTGGAAAGAGGGGTGATTGTTTTCCTTTATGCTTATCTACATTTTCCAAACTTTCTTTAATGAGTACAAATTCCATTTGTAATTTAAAAAAAAAACAACAAAAAAAACGTTACATTAAAAAAAGATGAAAATCTTTGTTTGAAGACGGGGTTGAAAACTTTTCTAGAGTTCAAGCCCTGGAAATACATTTCTACTGAATTACATGTGATTTCCTTATATTTAACAAACAAATGCATATAAAATGCTTGAAATTATGTTTCATAATGTTAGCAAATATTATTATTGTGACTATTATTATACACAGTGTTACATAATTCATCATTCTGGAGGGGCAGTATAGCATAATGGTTAAAAGTGTGAGCCAGGCCGGGCGCGGCGGCTCACGCCTGTCATCCCAGCACTCTGGGAGGCCGAGGCGGGAGGATCGCTTGAGGTCAGGAGTTCGAGACCAGCCTGAGCAAGAGCGAGACCCCGTCTCTACTATAAATAGAAACAAATTAATTGGCCAACTAAAAATATACAGAAAAAATTAGCCGGGCATGGTGGCGCATGCCTGTCGTCCCAGCTACTCGGGAGGAGGCTGAGGCAGGAGGATCGCTTGAGCCCAGGAGTTGGAGGTTGCTGTGAGCTAGGCTGACGCCACGGCACTCACTCTAGCCCGGGCAACAGAGCGAGACTCTGTCTCAAAAAAAAAAAAAAAAAAAAAGAGTGAGTCAGGTGTGAGTCTCCTGAGGTTGTGAGGAAGAACCGCCCAGGTTAGAAGTGCTGACACTTCCTAACGATGGCAACTAAAACAAGTTAGGTGTCCCTTCTGAACCTCCGCTATGAAATGGAAATGATGATAACAGCTACTACTTCAGAAGGTTGTTACGAGAATTACAAAGTACACATTAAACACCCCAAAATGTGGTGCCGGTCGTGCTAGAAATAGGGTGATAAGTCCCATCAACAGCAATGATTACACAGCACTCCTTCACATCATCAGAACATCCAACATTCAACAGTCACATTAAATCGAGAAAAATGGTTCTAAATGATCTGACAGTTGGGTTTCTAAAAAAAAAAAAAAAAAAAAAATCTCACGGCAAAAAATATAGACTTAATGATGCAAGAGCGATTAAAATCAACCTATTTCCAAGTCTTCAGAATGGCTTGCGTATTAATTAGCTCTGAAGTACGGTACCAAATTCCGTCTTTTTACATTGATTATGTATACCGATGCAAACTCTAAGTGAATACTGTGCATGAAGCTAGAGTTTAACGTTTTTTTTAAGACGAGAAGTAGTGCTTTCAATTATTCCCAATATTGGGTCCCCTAATCTGCAGTCCGTGCATATGTTTTTGAAGATGGAAGGCAGAAGTTTCTGGAAGGAGTGCTCCCTCCCGTCCTCCTCCTCCCCCACCTCCCTGTTACCCGTAAGGAAGCAAACTGCTTAATGACTGCACGAGGGGACTGAGCCCCGACGTGGGCTGAATCAAAACGCCCCGACACCAACGCGCCCTCCAAAGGCACGAGCAGCAGAGCAAGACGCCGAACTTCCCGTCCGTGATCTGAAATCAAGGGTACCCCGTGGCGATGGACCGGGAGACGGGACGTGAGCTCGGGGTTTGGTAGGGGCGCGTGACACAATCGAGCCTTTCGGTTATTGGCAGATAATACATTGCCCCTTTTATCTGGCATTTTGCATTTCGGGTCTGATTGCCATTCGTCACCTTTAAAAATCCTGTCCAATTGTCACAACATGCCACGTTACTGAATTTGTTTTATTTATTTATTTATTTTTATTTATTTATTTATTTTTTGAGACAGAGTCTCGCTTTGTTGCCCAGGCTAGAGTGAGTGCCGTGGCGTCAGTCTCGCTCATAGCAACCTCCAACTCCTGGGCTCAGGCGATCCTCCTGCCTCAGCCTCCTCCCGAGTAGCTGGGACTACAGGCATGCACCACCACGCCCGGCTCACTTATTTTTTCCTATATATTTTTAGTTGTCCAGCTCATTTCTTTCTATTTTTTTTTTTAGTAGAGACAGGGTCTCGCTCTTGCTCAGGCTGGCCTCCAACTCCCGACCTCGAGCGATCCTCCGGCCTCAGCCTCCCTCCCGAGTAGCTGGGACGACAGGCATGCGCCACCACGCCTGGCTAATTTTTTCTATATATATATATTAGTTGGCCAATTAATTTCTTTCTATTTATAGCAGAGACGGGGTCTCGCTCTCGAACTCCTGACCTCAAGCCATCCGCCCGCCTCGGCCTCCCAGAGTGTTGGGATTACAGGCGTGAGCCACCGCGCTCGGCCTTGATTTTGTTTTATACAACACAAAGTGCCGCTCTGTACCAACTCAACGTTGGCTCCCAGCTTTTCCTTAGATCGAAAATGAGCTATTTTCCGACTGGAGGCAAACTCTTTCCGTGGTTATCTGTCCACTTCCACGGCACATCTATAGGAGCCTCTGGAAGAGTTACAAACTATGCAATACCTTGTATACCACATCTATTTGCAGTGGATTTTTCTCTTCCAAATTTGTGGGAGACCCTAGTGTTTTGAAAATCAGATCTGCTTCAAGTGAAGAGCAAGATCCCACTAGTTCAAACATCCCCAGAGAAAATTCTTCGATAATCTACATCATTGCCCCATAAGCATTAAATCATATACAAAGATCATGTTCAAAGACATGCACATGTCTATAAAAAGCATGCTATATCTATGTATTAAAAAACAATGAGGCCGGGCGCGGTGGCTCATGCCTGTCATCCTAGCTTTCTGGGAGGCCGAGGCGGGAGTTCGAAACCAGCCTGAGCAAGAGCGAGACCCCGTCTCTACTAAAAATAGAAAGAAATTAATTGGCCAACTAAAAATATATAGTAAAAAAAAAATGAGCCGGGCATGGTGGCGCATGCCTGTAGTCCCAGCTACTCGGGAGGAGGCTGAGGCAGGAGGATGGCTTGAGCCCAGGAGTCGGAGGTTGCTGTGAGCGAGGCTGACGCCACGGCACTGTAGCCTGGGCGACAGAGTGAGACTCTGTCTCAAAAAAAACAAACAAACAAACAAACAAATAAAAAAACCAATAAGAGACCTGATCCTGTCACTAGATTTCCAGATGTTTGGCTTGGCATTCTGGAACATCCGCAGTCCGAGCGGGAGCCTTCCTCCGTGTGCTCCTCGGCTCAGCTCCGTTGGGGAGCAGCCAGCCGGGACGGCCGGCAACTAACCCTGTCTGCAGCTTCCCGGGGTGACAGTGGCGCTGCAGGGGTGGCCTCCAAACGCAGGAGGACAATCCGACAGGACCTCGGAGGGGACTCCGGGCTCTCGGGCAGCCTGCGGAGAAGGGCCCTGCTATGGCGGCTGCCTTCCTTACCTGGCCACAGAACAGCGGCGGGCACCGGGCCGTGAAGCACTGGGCAACCCCGTTTCTGCACCGGCATCGGGCGCACTGGCCCAGCCGCCAGTCTTCCCCGTCCTGGAAGAGGCGGCCTCCATAGGCGCAGGGTTCTGCAAGGGCAAGGCAATGCGGATTACCGGGGGGATCGCGTTTGTGGGTCTCGGGGCTGACTGCTCGGGAATGCGGGGTTGAACGTCCTGCGGCCGCTATCCTGAGATCTCGACACTGGGGTCTTCTCAGTTGGGGGCCCCCCACCTTCTGGGCACCAAGGACTGCTTTCCCGCGGAAGGATTTTGCCAGGGACAGGGGCGGGGATGGAGGTGACAGAGGGCGGCTGCAAGTATAGACGGAGCTCTGCTAGCTCACCTGAAACTCACCTCCTGCCCGGCGGCCCCGTTCCCATGGGGCAGTGGCCCCGGGGATTGGGGACCCCAGTTACAGGTCCCCAACATCTGGCAGGGCAGTGCCGTAGCGTCAGCCTCGCTCACAGCAACCTCAGACTCCTGGGCTCAAGCGATCCTCCTGCCTCAGCCTCCTCCCGAGTAGCTGGGACTACAGGCATGCGCCACCACACCCAGCTCATTTTTTCTATATGTTTTTAGTTGGCTGATTAATTTCTTTCTATTTATAGTAGAGACGGGTCCTTGCTCTTGCTCAGGCTGGTTTTGAACTCCTGGCCTCAAGCAATCCGCCTGCCTCGGCCTCCCAGAGTGCTGGGATGACAGGCGTGAGCCTCCGCACCCGGCCTCATTGTTTTTCAATACATAGATATAGCATGCTTTTTACAGACATGTGCATGTCTTTGAACATGATCATCCAAATGTATATGATTTACGTCTGGTGGGGCTCGGAGCCTCAGCTCAGGCTTCCTGCGATGGGTTCTCAGCTGCCTGCCCCCCGTCCCCTGCCAGTGAAGGCTGCCGCCCCCCCACCCCCAGTGGGGACCGGGTGCAGGTGCCAGGCGGGTGCATGTGGCCCTATGCACCAAGTCACAGGGGACCGCAGGCCTGCGAGGGCTTCCTCATCCCCAGGCCCAGGCAGGACAACCATAAATGGCAAATAAGAACATGGCAGGTTGGGAGAGAGAAACCACAGAGGCAAAGAAAAACCTTCCTCTCCTCCCCTGCTTTTTGAATGCGGGGACCTCACATTTTCACAGAGGATATACTTGGGGCCGGCCGCGGTGGCTCATGCCTGTCATCCCAGCATTCTGGGAGGCCAAGGCGGGAGCATCGCTCAAGGTCAGGAGTTCGAAACCAGCCTGAGCAAGAGCGAGACCCCGTCTCTACTAAGAATAGAAAGAAATTAATTGGCCAACTAATATATGTAGAAAAAATTAGCAGGGCATGGTGGTGCATGCCTATAGTCCCAGCTACTCGGGAGGAGGCTGAGGCAGGAGGATCGCTCGAGCCCAGGAGTCTGAGGTTGCTGTGAGCGAGGCTGACGCCACGGCACTCACTCTAGCCTGGGCAACAAAGCGAGACTCTGTCTCAAGAAAAAAAAAAAAAAAGATTTACTTGACCCTGCCGATCCTCCAGTCTTTCCAGACAAAATACTTCCAACACATCGTTGTCATGGAGGGCCCAGGAGAAAGCCTCTCGAAACCTAAGAGAGAACCCTACGAATTCCCCACGCCACCGCTAACTCTGCCCTCCCAGGTGATCTCACTTGCAGACTTGATTACGCAGCCCCGGAGAATCTGCTGGTGCGATTCCGTGGGCACATCTGAAATGCGTGAGGCACGCTCTCCCCTCTTATCACGTCCTGAGCATGCCTCTTAATCCCCGGGAAGGTTCTGCAGGGTAAAGGACTGCCAGGACCGGAATAACTGGGGATCAGAGTGAAACGGGGGGGGGGGGGTCTTTTTAAAGGGGAAAAGCAAGAATAGAGTGCAGCTTCCAGGAGCTACTAAATCAAAAAAGTGTTCTAGCGGTTATATGTCAAGAGAGCATGAGGCAGCAATGACAGGATTCCACGCTTCCCACGGGCAGACAAGTGTGGATTCCAAGAGGAGGGGTGTCAGTGTGCCCCTGGTTTGCTGAACTCAAAGCTAGCTCCCTCTGTTTGTCGGTATAATCTCTTCAGTGAGGGGGCAATAAAGACAGGTGAAGGACCTCCTGCCCTCTGAGTGTGTCTTGGAGAAAGATAGCATATTTCCCCGAAAATAAGCCCTCCCCATTAAACAAGCCCCAGCAGGATGTCTGAGCACGTGGGCAAAAGAAGCCCCACCCTGAAAATCAGCCCTGGTGATGGGCGTGGCTATGAAAATAAGAACCAGTGATGGGCGTGGCCATGAAAATCAGACCTGGTGATGGGTGTGGCTATGAAAATCAGCCCTGGTGTTGGGCGTGGCTATGAAAATAAGAACCAGTGATGGGCGTGGCTATGAAAACCAGCCCTGGTGATGGGAGTGGCTATGAAAATCCGCCCTGATGATGGGCGTGGCTATGAAAATCAGCCCTGGTGATGGGCGTGGCTATGAAAATCAGCCCTAGTGAGGGGCGTGGCTATGAAAATCAGCCCTAGTGACGGGCGTGGCTGCGCAGCGCATCTGCACAACCCATGCGTGTCGTCGCGGAGCAGGAAAGAACACGAGCAGCCCTTCTCATCCGCCCCGTGAGAGCTCTAGTGCTCGACAGGAGAGATCGGGGCCGGTGGCTCTAAAGGAAACAGAGTCGCAAGACATTCGAGATGGGATTCGGGGTCTGGAGAGTGAGGATGATGTTCCAGTAGAAGACGCCTTCACTGTATTTGAATCAATGCAGATGGTTGTGCCGTACTTAAAAAAAACAACATATCCCCTGAAAATAAGCCCTAGGGTGTCTTCTTGAGGAAAGATAAATAGAAGACCCTGCCTTATTTTCGGGGAAACGCGGTATCATGCCATCTCAAAGACCAGCCAACGCGATTACTGCCAGCCACGCTGCGTGCAGATAGATCTGACTTTTTCCTTTTTCTGTCCGCTTATCGGGCAGGAGGAACCGCCCTGGCCTTCTGAAATCACATCAAAGCGTCTTTTCCCTGCTCCCTGCCCACTCGGGAGGTGTGAACCCAGAGAGACAGGCATCTGGCCAAAACAAAAATAAATACACGCATCGGAGACTCGCAGAGTCCCGCGTCTGGAGCGGAGCCTCACGTCCTGCTCCAGTCCCTCCCTCCCTCGCCCGCCGTGCAGGGTGCCCCGCCTCGGCTCTAGGGAGGAAGGGGCCAGGGCCTGCCCAGCCTCAGGGAGCGAGAAACAGAAGAGTTGGGGTGTCAACAGGCGAACCCCGAGGGCACACAGGCCCCGTGCCACGCGCCCATACTCACTGCCGGGGCCCCCGCAGACGGGACAGCAGCTTCCTTCCGGGACGAACTGCAGCTCCTGCCGTCCACACGGCGGCCGTGGGCAGGGCTGCGGGCGGCATCGCACTTTGCCGTCCGTGCACGAGCACACGCTGCAGGGGGCCGAGGCCCACTCGCTCCCGTGCTGCGCGCCGGGGAGAGAAAAGAAAGAGATCACTCACGGCATACGGGCTTCATTCAGCCAGAAAGAAACAACCTGTTCTTTTTTTATGTTATTTTATTTTTTTTTACTACTACTAGAATACATATAGGTTGATCTCACTTTATTATTTATTTTTTGAAACAGCCTGTTCTCGTACAAACTAAGGCTGGAGCTCAGGAAAGGCTTCGAGCTTGCCAGGTTGAGACCAGGATCTGCCACGTTCCCACTCGGAGACCAGCGTGCACGTAAGAGCATGTGCTTGGAAATTTCAGAAAAACACAAAAATAAACAGATAAATAGAAACAATCCTAATCCCGTCATCTAAAAAAATTTTTTATAGAGCCCAATGTAAAACGCACGTGTATTTACTGTGTTTTCCATAATAGTAATATCGGTTTGAGCAGCGTCCTGTTCCCTGTCTTTGGCTTTACTTTTCATGCCGGTTAGTTGCCGAGTCATGTGTTCACTCTCTCTCTCCGTCAAGTGTTCCGATGACATCATGGTCCTGGGGAGATTGTGCAGTAGCCGACAGACGTACCTGTTCCCCCCCGGTTCTCCCCCAAACCGCAGAGCCAGTCCTTGCCGGCGAGGCTGCCTGTCCACACACGCAAATTGCTCCAGACCCTCTGTGCGCTCGGACGCCGCGCTCTCCGGAAGCCAGCGCTGCCTCGGCGACCCGACAGACCCACGGTCTGAGTTACCCTGTGACTTGCCGAGTACCCCAAAGTCCCTCACTGCGTCGACACCCTCGGATGTTTCGGGGAGAACCCGGAACACACAAACAGCCACAAACGCGATCCACCGCTCAGGGCAGCAGCTGCCAAAGGCTGTCACCTTCTCAGCGACAGAGTGGAGTAACGGCGGCCTCTCACAAGACCCCTTTGCCTCTGTTCAGTCTAGCACAGGCTGGTACTGGAGCCAGCGCAAATCACAGATGGGCTCCCGTGAAAGACAGCACGCATTCTGGGCACACGCTCACCTCAATATAACCCGGGGACTTGTGACAGCAGGTGCCTCTGAGAAGCACAGGGAACGAGCAGCCCCTCGCTGCTCCTCAGACCAGTGTCCGGAGTAAGTTTTCGTGTCTATCCGACACAAAGGAGCCCCGTCCTGCCTGAACAAGCAGGTGCCCCTGCCGTCTAGACCAGGCCTGGTGGGAGTACCAGCCCAGAGCTCGAGATGTGTGTGTGTGTGTGTGTGTGTGTGTGATTTCACAGTGTCCTTCATACCCATTTACAAAAGCGTTATTTTTTTGTGAGCACTGTAGCGGCAGAGAGCTTTGAGAAATGAAGGAATACTTGAAGCACAGAGCAACGCTCCCACAAGACCGGGTTTTATCTAGGCCGTCTTGCTCAACCTCATTAATGCCTTTTCGAAAACATGGGAGTTTGACACGGGCAAAAGCAAATTCTGCAGACAACGCCTTAAATGCATTCTTCCGCTTAGCCACCTAACAAGTCAGCTCGTGGCTGACACAAGGCCGAAGGAATGACAAGGTCGTGAAGCACGTGCCCGGCTCACCCACAGAACAAAAAATTAATTTTTCTTCCTACAATTTGTTCCTTGTTATGAAGTTATAGATCCAGAATACTAAATATCTGGGAACGCTCAGCGCATATTATAACTGCATCCTCTACTTCGAGGAGAACGAGGCTGCAGAACTCAGTGCTCGTGTCTCTCCCTGCACGCACAGCTCAGTGCTCTCAGCCTCCCAGACGAGGTGAGCCAACCCGTCCCTCCCCACCTCTGTCCAGTCGGGCCGAGCACCAGGGCGTCACCACCGGCCCTGGCTTCTCCGACTCAGGCAGTATCTGGTGCCGGGTTAAATTGGCGAAGAAGAAAAGAAAGGGGATTAGAGCACTCACACTCTCGAATATCCCCGAGTCACCCAGAAGGTGCGAGTGTTCTCCTCGCTCCAGGGAGGGTCTCCAGACGGGTCTGGACTTGCCGGGTCCTACCCCGTGGCAGGCAGGGCGTCCCCGAGCAAGGCCCCCTTCTCTGCAGCCCGACCCTGACTACACCCTAACCCTGTGCTCTGGGCGGGGACGGTGTCACTCCCCCGCCACACCCAGTCCACCCCGAGGCCTCTTCTCACTCTCTCTCAGAGGAAGGCTCCCACTGCGGATCACCATTCCGAGACCTAAAAACGCACGCCCGGCGGTCTTTCGGGGCCTGGGAGAGTCTCCACACCCTCCCATTGCGGGACGCAGGCCGATGGCTAAACGCGGGGTCACTGCTGCTCAGCGGGAGAGGAAACTCCTCTGGAGGCTGCTTCCCAAACAGGCCGAAAGGGCAAAAAAGAGAAGGCTGCAAAGATTCAGGAAAAACACGGCTAGAGAAGCTGGCGGTGAGGTGAGACGCGGACCCAGCCACACACGCACTCAGAACACTCCAGAAAACGGGTGACACTAAGAAGGGCTTGTGAAGGGCCCCGGGGAAGTGAAGAAAGAAAGAGAGGAAGGAAAAGAAGAGAAGAAACATGCTATAATAGTTATAATGTTATTAAGACTAAAATTAGAAGTTTTTTTTTTTTTTTTTTTGGAGACAAGAGTCTCACTCTGTCACCCGGGCTAGAGTGAGTGCCGTGGCGTCAGCCTCGCTCACAGCAACCTCCAACTCCTGGGCTCAAGCGATCCTCCTGCCTCAGCCTCCCGAGTAGCTGGGACTACAGGCATGCGCCACCATGCCCTGCTAATTTTTTCTATGTATTTTTCGTTGGTCAATTAATTTCTTTCTATCTTTCTATTTTTAGTAGAGACGGGGTCTCGCTCTTGCTCAGGCTGGTTTCTAACTCCTGATCTTAAGCGATCCTCCTGTCTCAGCCTCCCGAGCAGCTGGGACTACAGGCATGCACCACCATGCCTGGCTAATTTTTTCTCTATATATTTTATTTTATTTATTTATTTATTTTTGAGACAGAGTCTCGCTTTGTTGCCCAGGCTAGAGTGAGTGCCATGGAGTCAGCCTCGCTCACAGCAACCTCAAACTCCCGGGCTCAAGTGATCCTCCTGCCTCAGCCTCCTCCCGAGTAGCTGGGACTACAGGCATGCGCCACTATGCCCGGCTCATTTTTTCTCTATATATTTTCAGTTGTTTGGCTAATTTCTTTCTATTTTTAGTAGAGACATGGTCTCGCTCTTGCTCAGGCTGGCCTCAAACTCCTGACCTTGAGCGATCCTCCCACCTCGGCCTCCCAGAGTGCTGGGATTACAGGCGTGAGCCACTGCGCCCAGCCTAAAATTAGGAAATGTTTGTCTCACCTTAAAAAAGAATTAATCTTCTAGCACTATGTGAAGAAGCAGACCACTAGAGGGTTCCCCTCCCCCCTCCCCCCAGACTTCTTGAAATTCCACTTTTTCCTCGGTTATATCGAGTACGAGAAATACAACATTTTCCGAGGAAGTAACATTTGAAAGCTGCATGTGGTAAAGCCACAGATGGGCGAGTTCCTACCCAGGTTAGAACTCCCCATATGAGGTGTCAAGCAGAAAGGGGAACTGGGAGGGAGGACCAGAAGGAGAACATTCTGGACTGCCCCAGCCAAAGCGGGAGGCGGGAGGGTCTGCGGCTGACCCACAGCGGGTCTGTGGTCCTGGAACCGCCCGGCCACACAGGCTCGTGACCAACAGGCCCCTGGGATCAGGGCACGGAGAAGCTGGAGACAGGGTCTGCCGGCTGTTTAAGTCTTTCCTTCGTCATTTCCTGAGCGGGGGGCGAAGTGCCAGGTCGGGTGAGAAGTGGGGAAGGTCGTTATAGAGATAGAGAAAATATCGCCAGTGTTTTCAGGCATGTTAAACCAAGACAACTGGACACGTGGCCGGGCGAGGTGGCTCACGCCTGTCATCCTAGCACTCTGGGAGGCCGAGGAGGGAGGATCGCTCGAGGTCAGGAGTTCGAAACCACCCTGAGCAAGAGCGAGACCCCCGTCTCTACTAAAAATAGAAAGACATTAGCAAGACAACTACAAATATATAGAAAAGGGCGGCCGGGCGCGGTGGCTTACACCTGTCATCCCAGCACTCTGGGAGGCCGAGGTGGGAGGATTGCTCGAGGTCAGGAGTTCGAAACCAGCCTGAGCAAGAGCAAGACCCTGTCTCTACTATAAATAGAAAAAAAATTAATTGGCCAACTAAAAACATATAGAAAAAATTAGCCGGGCACGGTGGTGCATGCCTATAGTCCCAGCTACTCGAGAGGCTGAGGCAGGAGGATGGCTTGAGCCCAGGAGTTGGAGGTTGCTGTGAGCAAGGCTGACGCCACGGCATTCACTCTAGCCTGGACAACAATGTGAGACTCTGTCTCAAAAACAAACAAAAAAAAACACACAAAAAAGACAACTGGACACGTGGCGCCATCACAGTGGCCCCTGAGAAGATCTACTGAATCTGGCTGCTCGAGTCCCTGGAACCACCTCTCAACGGAGATACCTGGGTTTCCTCCCTCCAGACCCTGACCTCAGTTTGCTTCTTTCACTCAAAACGTTCAGCCACTGTCGTTCACCTCGAACCACACCTCTGTTCCGACCGCCGTGAGCTGGCGAGATTCCCACGACCCGTCTGCCCTGCAGCCTGTCCAGGTCACAGGGGTGTCCTCCGTGGCATTCGAAGCCGACACCCCCCTGCCTGGACTGACGCAGCAACGGGCGGTGAGAAGACGTCCCCCGTGTAGACCCCGCCGGGCCGCCCGTCTGCAGCACTCGGCGCAGAGTGAGAGAGTGAACTCCTCGTGTCACCGGGAGACCTGGCGGGAGACGACTATCCCATCCCGTGGGGGTGCGAGCACTGGATGGGGGCCGGTTCTCCCTGAGGTTCCGGCAGGGGACGGGTCCGGTTCTCCCCAAGGTTCCGGCAGAGGATGGGGTCTAGTTCTCCCCGAGGTTCTGGCACGGGGTGGGGGTCTGGTTCTCCCCGAGGTTCCGGCACGGGACGGGGTCCGGTTCTCCCCGAGGTTCCGGCAGGGGATGGGGTTCGGTTCTCCCCGAAGTTCCAGCAGGAGATGGGGGTCCAGTTCTCCCTGAGGTTCAGGCAGGGGATGGGGTCCAGTTCTCCCCGGCAGGGGATGGGGTCTGGTTCTCCCCGAGGTTCCGGCATGGGATGGGGTCCGGTTCTCCCTGAGGTTTTGGCACGAGATGGGGTCCGGTTCTCCCCGAGGTTTAGGCACGGGATGGGGTCCGATTCTCCCCGAGGTTTTGGCACGGGATGGGGTCCGGTTCTCCCCGAGGTTCAGGCACGAGATGGGGTCCGGTTCTCCCCGAGGTTCAGGCACAGGATGGGGTCCGGTTCTCTCCGAGGTTCTGGCACGGGATGGGGTCCGGTTCTCTCCGAGGTTCAGGCACGGGATGGGGTCCGGTTCTCCCCGAGGTTTTGGCACGGGATGGGGTCCGGTTCTCCCTGAGGTTCAGGCACGGGATGGGGTCCGGTTCTCCCCGGCAGGGGATGGGGTCCGGTTCTCCCCGGCAGGGGATGGGGTCCGGTTCTCCCCGAGGTTCCTGCACGGGATGGGGTCCGGTTCTCCCCGAAGTTCCGGCACGGGATGGGATCCGGTTCTCCCCGAGGTTCCTGCACGGGATGGGGTCTGGTTCTCCCCGAGGTTCCTGCACGGGATGGGGTCTGGTTCTCCCTGAGGTTCCTGCACGGGATGGGATCCGGTTCTCCCCGAGGTTCCTGCACGGGTGGGGGTCCGGTTCTCCCAGAGGTTCAGGCACGGGATGGGGTCTGGTTCTCCCCAAGGTTCCTGCACGGGATGGGGTCCGGTTCTCCCCGAGGTTCTGGCACGCACTCGAGCAGCGGCCTGGAGCGGGTATATCGAATCCCGCTGCCCCGAGCTCTCTCCCGAGAGGGCGAGACACTAGCTGCGGACGTTCTGTGTCGGGCGGAAGGCCAGGATGAAAGGAAGGCTCTTTCCATCACCTTCAATGTCACCTGCCCCCTCAGGTAACATTGAAGTGTGAGTGGAGACGAACTGTCTACCGTCATAATTCCTATTATAAACTCTGCAATGGCGCCTTTAGACCAGTATTTAGTATCTCTCCATTAACCCCGAAATATCTGGAATCAGAAAGTATAATGACAACAATAATAAAGACCCTTAGGATAGATTTCTAGTATTGTATTTCTAAAACGAGGAGAAGGGGAGCATTTTGCCCCCCGGGAGAAATCTGAGCCATGCCTGAAGACGTTTCTGGCTGCCGTGACTGAGGGACGCTACAGACACCCAGTGGGAAGCGACCAGAGACGCTGCTAAACACACCCTACAATGCACAGCACGGCCCACGCAACAAAGCTTAGTTAGAATGTCATAACAACGGGAAATTCTCCTCTCATGGGAAGAACCCTGAATGAGGAGTCAGAAGACCAGGGCGCCACCGGGCCAAGCTACGCCGCTCATTCGTAATAGGGCATTGGGCAGTTGCCACAAGCTCTTTCTTTGCAATTCAATTTTTCCACCTTTAACACGGAAGTGCTAACATCTGCTCTGCTCACCGGCTCAGCATCGTTTGTAACTACCAAATTAAAAAAAAAAAAAAACGCACGGAGCACACAGAAGGAAGGTGGTGCTTGTGTTATTCGACCTCACAACGCCTTCCACATCGTGCCAACGTTCTCAGACACAAATCCGGTCTACACAAGTTAGCAGAGGGCCTGGACGAGGATAAGTAGGATAGTTTTAATCCTACTCGAGAAAGCCAAGAGCTCGCAGAGAGTCAAATCGGCTCCGCGCCCGGGCAGGGAAGAACCCTGCTCTCGTCAACACCGGATCAACACTCGGCTTCCCCCCCTCGGTGGTCTGCAGACGCGGAGCCGACCCGGGCCGGGGACACCCACCTCGTGGATCTTCTGCTCGTGAAGGCAAGACCCAGGCGTCCTGCGGGCGCACTCGGGGCAGCACTGGTTGGCGGCGATCCGGAGCACTTCCCCCTGAGCAACGGAAGGCGGCTGGGAGTGAAACAGGGCAGCAAGCACAGCGGGGACGGCTCATCACGCCCCCGGGCATCTTAGGGTCAGGGACAAGGGTCACTTGTCTTAGGGTCATGAGTCTGGGGGTGGGGGTGGGGACCACAGTAGACGGGATAAAACAAAGGAACTAAGGAAAAGGGTTCTATCTACGTCAAGATGAGCTTCCCTCAAAGATAAAAAAAACCCCATGGCGGAAAGTAATTTCCTGGGGAAAAATACACACAGTCCACATCTTTTCACATATAGAGTTAGACGTTTTCGGGGGGGCGGGCGTGGTGGTCACGGCCTGTCCACAGCGGCTATGGGAGGGGCCGAGGCGGGAGGATCCGCTTGAGGGCCGGAGGTCAGAGGTTGCTGTGAGCGAGGCTGGACGCCACGGGACACTCACTCTAGTTGCCCGGGCGAAGAGCCGGAGACCTCTGTTTCTCAAACAAAAAAAGAAAAAAGAGATGGGCTGAGTGATGAGAAGCCCCAGGCTTGCCTGCCCGACCACGCTGGAGGGCCACAAATTCGGGGCGCCGTACCTTCTCGAAGGCACACCGGGGGTTCTGCAACGGGGGCAGGCTGGCGATGGAACGCGTCGCCGTGGGCACGAGCTCTGGAGGAGTCCGGGTTTTCCAACGGGAGTCATTGACAAGCAAGCACCAAACCCATGGTTTACACCCGAAGCGGGCTGGGGCACGAGAGGGCAGGAGGGCGGCAGCATCCCCAGCCCCAGGTCCCGGAAATCAAAGGGGACGAAGAGCCGGGGCGCAGGGGTGGCTCACGCCCGGTCATCCGGCATCTGGTGGAGCGGGGCGGGAGGATCGCGAAAAAGTCAGGAGTTCGGGGGGACCAAGCCTGAGTAAGAGTGGACCCCCGTCTTTCTACTATAATAGAAAAGAATTAAATGGCCGATAAAAATATATGAAAAAACTAGCCGGGCGTGGGGTGGCGATTGCTGTTAGTCCAGCTGTCGCGGAGGAGGCTGAGGGCCAGGACGGATTCTTGAGCCCAGGAGGTCTGAGGTTGCTGTGAGCGAGGCTGGACGCCACGGCACTCACTCTAGCCTGGGCAACAAAGCGAGACTCTGTCTCAAAAAAAAAAAAAAAAAGAAAGAAAGAAAGCGAACCTGGCCTCAGTCAGGGGTCTCAGGACATTTCTACCTCTTCCCTGGATGGTGCTGAAATCCACATTTCGACTGTGCCTGTTTTGAAACAACTTTGAGATCAGCTGCCTCGTAGATTCCACGGAGACCGTTATGTCTACCGAAAGTCTGCCCTGACCACCCTCGATTAAAGCAGTAAAGATACCAGGAACCGAGCTGAGATCCGTTTTCCTAGAGATTCCCTAACCCCGATTCATCCATTCTGTATGGGTTCAAAATAGCCGCAGCGGCTAAGTTTCAAACTCTAACTCTCTTTTATTTTTTAGACAGAGTCTCGCTTTGTTGCCCGGGCTAGACTGAGTGCATTCTCAGTGACCCCGACCCCCCAGCTCCAAAGCCACCCATTGTACTTTTCAGTAGCCCTCGAGCACGGAGCTTAGCTTGCTGGGTCTCTACACAGGATCATCCAAGAACATGGAGTACGTTTTTCACTTTCACTCGCAAAAACTATCATTTTTCTTTACACTGATTCAAAGTTTAAATTTGTCTGGGCTGAGGAAGGAAGGCTTCCTGATTTGTGTTCTGGCCTGTCTTCTCAGCGGGCTATGACTCTCAAGCAAGGAGATCTCGATTTATTTATTTTGTATTTATTTATTGATTGATTGATTCATTGATTGAGACAGAGTCTCACTCTGTTGCCCAGGCTAGAGTAAGTGCCATGGCGTCAGCCTCGCTCACAGCAACCTCAGACTCCTGGGCTCAAGCGATCCTCCTGCCTCAGCCTCCCGAGTAGCTGGGACTACAGGCATGCGCCACCATGTCCAGCTAATATTTTCTATATATAGTTTTTAGTTGTCCAGCTAATTTCCTTCCTCCCTTCCTTTTTTTTTGAGACAGAGTCTTGCTTTGTCGCCCAGGCTAGAGTGAGTGCCGTGGCGTCAGCCTCGCTCACAGCAACCTCAGACTCCTGAGCTCAAGCGATCCTCCTGCCTCAGCCTCCTCCCGAGTAGCTAGGACTACAGGCATGCGCCACCATGCCCGGCTCATTTTTTTCTACATATTTTTAGTTGGCCAATTAATTTCTTTCTATTTATAGTAGAGACAGAGTCTCGCTCTTGTTCATGCTGGTTTAGAACACCTGACCTCGAGCTATCCTCCCGCCTCGGCCTCCCAGAGAGGAGATCTCATTTTAGTCCTCTTTGTGTGTCCCTTTCCTCAGAGAGTCCCTGAATGGTAGCTGAAATTAGTGAAGGAACATCCCTGAGTACTCGCTCCATTTAGGAAGCACAGCGTAAGAAAACGATGTTCAAACAGTTCACTACAAAATGCCCATAATGTTGAATGTTATGATTTCACCAGTGCCAAGCTATGTTTGAAGAAAATTATTCTTCATCTGGGCAATCGTCCTGTGGGGAACAAAATCCTTATATTAACATCCCCATGGAAGTGAATAATTTATGGTTAATTTTAATGAAATGAGCCCTTTCCCAAGGCCTGGGTGGATGGCCATATATTTTTCAGGTCTAAATCTTTACAAATCAATTTCTATGGTCCCATCAAGCTGCTTTATGAAAACTGAGACACTAGAGTTCCCCAATAGCTAGAACTTTGGATAAAGCCATGAAATCCAAAGAAATAACACCGCAAAGTAAGTTTTGCAGATTTTCCATGTTAATACTGCAATTCCATCACTTTCTAATCCTCTCTTCCAATCTAACGCAAGCTGCAAAAGAAATATTGTTCAAATAGTTTTTCTGCTAGGACAAAGATTAAAGGATTAGATTATGATGAACTTAAAAAGCAATCAAAATATGATCTGTTTAAACAGCCTTGAATATTTTTAATAATATATGAATGAAATGTTCTAGCAGATAATATAACGCCTCCATCCTCAAATACTTTAAAATAACAAGGTGCTTAAAAAAATTTATTTCACTTGGCTAAGTATTTATTGAACATTGATTAGTGCTAAATATAAACAATGAATACATCCCTAATCACTACTCAAATTTCAGGGGGAAGATTATCTATAGCATTCTAAAGAGCAATGTATCAACTGTCAACATAAATTTTCTTTCATCTAAATGGCATAATAACCCTACTTTAACTATTAATTAATTCATCTCATTTTAAATTCCCTTAGCTTCTTAGACCAAGAGTATGAAAGAAGGAATACAGCTGCCCAAAATCTGTGCTTTCATGTTACCCAACAGGGTGGAGAATAGAATGCTTTTCTGTTATGGGAGTGTATTTATGTGCATAGAAACTAAGTGGAATTATGTAAACTAGTAATTTACATTTAATTGGCCAACTAATATATAGAGAAAAAATTAGCCGGGCATGGTGGCGCATGCCTGTAGTCCCAGCTACTCGGGAGGAGGCTGAGGCAGGAGGATCACTTGAGCCCAGGAGTTGGAGGTTGCTGTGAGTGAGGCTGACGCCACGGCACTCAGTCTAGCCTAGGGTTGTCAATCCTACACGTGGGTTCTACGTTTTTTGCTTTTCTCTTTATCCTTATCTGTATTTTCTATCTTTTTCAGTAACAAAAATATATAACCTATGTGATCTTTTAAAGTTACTTTTTTTTTTGAGACAGAGTCCCACTTTGTTGCCCGGGCTAGAATGCCGTGGCGTCAGCCTCGCTCACAGCACACCTCAGACTCCGGGGCTCAAGCGATCTCCTGCCTCAGGCCTCCTCCCGGAGTAGCTCGGGACTACAGCGGATTCACCATCATGGCCCAGCTTCATTTTTTTTCTATGTATTTTTAGTTGGCCAATTCATTTCTTTCTATTTTTAGTAGAGACGGGTTCCCTCTTGCTCAGGCTGGTCCTCAAACTTCTTGACCTTGAGCGATCTCCGCCTCGGCTCCCGAGTGCTAGGATTACAGGCTGCGCCACCACTGCCCAGCTTAATTTTTTGTATGTATGTTTAGTTGGCCAATTAATTTCTTTCTATTTTTAGTAGAGACGGAGTCTTGCTCTTGCTCAGGCTGGTCTCGAACTCCTGACCTTGAGCGATCCCCCTGCCTCGGCCTCCCAGAGTGCTGGGATGACAGGCGTGAGCCACCGCGACCGGCCTACAGTTACTTGCAAAATATAAGGTAGGAAAACAAAATGCTGTGCTTTTTCCCCTGCCAACCCCAGGGAGATAGGCCCTGGGCTTCTGAGTTGAACTGGCTTGGGGGAGGGGATTTAAATAAAACCACTTACCAAATACCTACAGAAGTGGGCAATTCACCTACATTTCCTGAGCTAGCCCCAGACCTTTTTGTACTCAGCAAGATTTTTAAGAACTAACAGGGTTCCCTTGCTTGTCCTTCAAAGCAATGAAACGGACTCCATGTTCAACTGGGCCCAACGCCTTCATTTCTGGAGGTTCACTTCCCTGACAAGTCTGCTTTTCAGGAAAGATAATCTATAAAAAAAAAAAAAAAAAAAGGTTCTCTGACCCGGCTCCCGTTCGAGCGCAGAAATAACGGTCCTTGTTTGTCAAGGACGCGTGAAGAAACGAATCAATAACTTTCTCGTAAGGTTGTTTTAGAGACAACTCTCCCCTCGAGTGCCCTGCCTCTGACAGCTCCGACGAGCCACACCTGCTCCATTTTTGCTCTCGTTTTAAACTCCACATCTCGTTTAAAGTCCTCACCCCGGCCCGGATGAGAAGAAGCTGAGGACACTTATTGTCGGGAAGAGACAGGAGCTTTGTACTGACATTAAGTTCCCTCCTTTCAGGAGGAGCAAATGCGAGTTAATGCCAAGGAAAGAGAGAATGGGGACCCAATTCCTGACCCCGTTCACAGGTTTGCCCCACGCAACTCCCCCTTAAGGAGTTTCTTGTTGTACACATCAAACACCTACGTGGCTTCCCATGTTGTCGGCATCCTGGCATGACTAGCTCCTCCCGTCTCCTCCAGCTGTCTGAAAATGGTAACCCCGATGGAACATCAGCCTGGATACAGGAACAGCAGCGCCAGCCACGGAGGACACGTTTACTGCTGCGCATAACCCAGAACGTCCCTGTTCCAGCTAGCACCGTGTTCTCTTTTTTTTTTTTTGAGACAGAGTCTCGCTCTGTTGCCCAGGCTAGAGTGAGTGCCGTGGCGTCAGCCTCGCTCACAGCAACCTCAGACTCCTGGGCTCAAGCGATCCTCCTGCCTCAGCCTCCCGAGTAGCTAGTACTACAGGCATGCGCCACCACGCCCGGCTAATTTTATATATATATGTTAGTTGGCCAGTTAGTTTCTTTCTCTTTATAGTAGAGACGGGGTCTTGCTCAGGCTGGTCTCGAACTCCTGACCTCGAGCAATCCGCCCGCCTCAGCCTCCCAGAGTGCTGGGATGACAGGCGTGAGCCACCGCGCCCGGCTGAAGAAAGACTTTTTAATCCTTTTTATAGCGCTGTTTCCAGCGACATCAATGCGGTCTACACAGGGGAGCCACAGAGGGGAGCCAGCTCCTCCCAGCGAATTCCCAGAACGAACCACTTTCCCGCAGAGACCTCCCGGCCCCTGTCCCAGCTGCACGCTGAGCTCCGCGGCGGCCACGCGTAGCGACCCCAACACCCGTGAGGGCTGTCGGTGCACGCCCGACTCCTGAGAACCGCACGCACGCGAGCGTCCCGAGCTGGAAAAGGCACCCCGCTTGGCGGGTGACTAGCTTTTGAGCTTGAGAAGGCTCAGAAGTGCCGAACAATGAACACGGACCAAAAGCAACAGGAGGAAACTTGAACACGGACCAAAAGCAACAGGAGGAAACTTCCCCCTGCTCGGTGGTTGTTGAGTTCGTGAATTAAATAAACAACTACGTGAAGCCATGTGGGTGTCTGTCTACCGACGTCCTCCTCTCTGCGGTCTCCGGAGCTGACACAGAGACCAGTTACAAACTCACGCTCTGGGCCGGGCGCGGCGGCTCAGGCCTGTCATCCCAGCACTCTGGGAGGCCGAGGCGGGAGGATCGCTCAATCTCAGGAGTTCAAACCAGCCTGAGCAAGAGCGAGACCCCGTCTCTACTATAAAAATAGAAAGAAATGAATTGGACAACTAAAAATATATATAGAAACAATTAGCCAGGGGCATGGTGGCGCATGCCTGTAGTCCCAGCTACTCGGGAGGAGGCTGAGGCAGGAGGATTGCTTGAGCCCAGGAGTTGGAGGTTGCTGTGAGCGAGGCTGACTCCACGGCACTCACTCTAGCCCAAGCAACAGAGGTGAGGATCGTCTCAAAAAAAAACAAAAAAAGCAAAAGAAAAATCATAAGAGACGAGACAGAACGTAGTATTCATTAAGAATGGGAGCGGATCACGCATAAAGTCTTTGGGTTCCTCATCTTCACGTTGAGCAGGCTGAGGAGGAGGAGGAGGAGGAGGAGGAGGAGGAGGAGGGAGGTGTTGGTCTGGCGCTCAGAGGGAGCCGGAGGTGGAGGAAAACCCCATCTATAGTGGACCCCAGGCCGAGTTTCAAACCCATCTCGTTCCAACTGGCAGTTGAGACGCGAGGCTACGCTATCGCTGAGGTAGTTTTAGCGGCAACAAGCCATGACGGCCTGGCTCCCTTGGAGAAATAAGATGATGAGACGAGGCCAGCGGTGATGATAAAAACCAGCAACTACTGATTGCTGAGTCTTACTGTACACACGCCCTCTGCGTGCATGAACTATTATCCCACGCCACTTCCATCGAACTGTTCGGTCCCACTTCGAATTGTCCGCACTTACCCTGAAGGCTCAGAGATCCAGTGACCTGGCCAAGCTCCACAACAGTGTAACGGAGGAGCAGGATTTGACCCAGGCAGCCCGACTCAGAGCCAGACTAATGTTGGCCAGGAAGCATAAGGAGCGCAGACACAGTAACCATTTGGTTAAGTGATATAGCATGAGTTTATCAAGGGTAAGAAACAACTGAGTTGCTTACAGCAAAAGGAAAGGAGAGCAATTTTGCAAGTTGTTTGCAAAGGCTGGTACCTCAGTGGATCCAGCATGTCCTCCATCCCTGGAATCTTCACCCACACTTTCGGTTTCTTTGTTAATCACCCCTCTGTTGCTTTTCACGCTCTTGTCATTCGCAACCATTTCTTGGACTTCTCGTACTTCGCG